AGGGGAATCGAAGTAAGCCAATCGTGCCCACTACTGGGCCTGAGAAGGAAGGAAAATGTGGCTGAGCTTCTGGGCGGTTGGAGCTAAGCCCACCGTTAGGGCTGGGAATCCAGACCAAACCGTATGGGAAACCGCGGTCTAGACCGTATCGTATGGTTTGGTCTGGACCGTGAGACCAGAACTATGGTCTGGTCTGGTTTGCGGTCTCCTCCTTTAGTGCGTGGTCTGAAGTGGTCTGGACCGCGGTCTACCGCAGTAAACCGTAACAGACCGCGACACACTACCTACTACCTTGGACAAAAATAACACTAAATTGAACCTCCATATGTGTATTTGAAGAACAAAATTAGTTGATTCTTCATCTAGTTGAGAGCCAACAAATTGCAAAATGATCGCTTATATGTTATCTCCTTATCAAAGTACCACACAAAAATTAGAAAGACTCATAAATAATATTCAGAGATAATGTCTAGACTATGGAGTCGATAAAAATTAAACACTACAAAAAAAATTCGTTCACCTTGATGAGATAAGGAAAATTATTGAGAGATATGCGACCATCTTAGTGGTTCGAAATTACCTCGACGTCATCAAAAAGGTTATCAACTAGGAGAACCTTCAGATCACTCGAGAGAGGAGAGAAGCGGTAGCACAAAGAGGAATAGGAAAATAAGGCTATTTGAAAATTGAAAAAACCCACTTCTATCCTCATATTTCTTCTCATTTAATACGATCACAATTTTTTTGTTTCACTAGCATATTGGTCACTAGATTTTTTTATAGATACAGTTGAAGGGTTGGAGGGCGAACAAGAGTTAATTTTTTTTAACATGGTCTGTCTGGTCCAGACCATACCGGACCGCACCGCACAGGTGTGGTCTGGTCTGGACCGTACAGTATATGGTCTGGTCCATGGTCTGTGTTCCAACCTCTCGATCTGGACCACAGACCGTATCTATGGTCTGGTCTGGACCGGACCGCACTGTTTCCCACCCCTACCCACCGTCCCAAGAGAAAACTGTCCTTAGGGCTTAGGCCACTAGGCCAGGAGGCGACTTGAGGAAAGCAACAATTGGAACTCGGAGGCTACTGGCTAGGGTGAACATCGCAAACCAAATCCGGCTTGCTACAGGTAACTACGTTTAAATCGATGTATTATCATTAATGTATAGTTAAATCGATGTATTGTCATTAATGCATGCATAATAATATACATGCATATAAGAAAATTGGTGTACATTAGTTTACATTATTTGGTTTCTGTGATAGTAATGGTAGTATTTAAATAAATTATATCACTTTTTGGGTGAAATGTCACTTTTACCCTTTGTTTTTATATAAAAAACAACACACATAAAAAGGTAGAGACATATTTGGAAGAAAAAGAAAACACAACAATCTCCATCAAACAATCTCAACGAAAACTTGAGATTTAACTATCACTCATTTTGAGTAATAGTTTGTGTCAAATCAAGCAAACAATGCATGTATTATTTGCGCAGAAAATTCAGAAAAACGATGCATTGTGGCATTGTAACGATCCCAACCAAACTATCATCCACACCAAACGAACCCTATGTTTACCGCGAAAATGATGACTTCGATTTGATATGTTCTATCCGATCTGTCCCGCGACCGGGATACATCCAACACTAGATTTCCAAACACAACTCTTTAGTACAATAGGACGTTGAGTTCTTATTGAAACAAGCATATATAGGTTGGGTGAAAGAGGCATGTTCATGACTCAGGCTGCGTTCCAGAGGGGCACAACATGCGAGTAGGAGCAGGATTTGGAGAATCATTCATAATTAATCAGCCACAAAATGGAAAACGGACAAAGGAATGTGTTGAAGAAAGGACAATAGTAATAATTATTTTGGTACCTCTTACCGTAACTTGAGTATAATTTTAAGTTAGGTAACTTGTATAGATCTAAACCGTTAAAATCGATCAAATTTAATGTAAATCATTGATTAAAGAAATAAAAAATAAAAAAAATAAGTAAATAAGCAACGGCAACAAGGGTTGCCAGTCACCACATCCTCAATTTACCTTTTTTTTTTCTTTCCTTTTTCACATTTGGTTGGTTTCCTTATCCTTTCCTTTTTTTAATTCTTATGGAATTAGAAGCATTATGTAAGACTTCCGTAATAACTTAGCTCTTTACGTAACAGGACGTTAATACTCATTACGTAAAGAGACCTTCCATTACGTAAGGCTTCCGTAATGATATTTTACAACCGTTACATAAAAATACACATTCATTACGTAAAGGTTACGAAACCATAGTTATTTCTTACGTAACGGTTAAATCAGAAGTGTTACGTAAGGCTTCCGTAATGACTTAGCACTTTACGTAACACGAGGTTAATACTCATTATGTAAAAAGACCTTCCATTACGTAAAGATTACGAAACGACAGTTATTTCTTAAGTAATCGTTAAATCAGTAGTGTTACGTAAGGCTTCCGTAATGACTTAGCATTTTACGTAACGCGAGATTAATAGCCATTACGTAAAGACACATTCTATTACGTAAGGCTTCCGTAATGATCTTTTACAACGGTTACGTAAGATTACCATATGTTACGTAACCATTACGTAATGTCTATTGTATTTTAGGTAATGCGATCTGTGAAACCTGCTATAACAGCTAAAAACATTCAAGTTACCTTACTTCAAGTTATTGTAGGAAATCCCTAATGATGACAATAACAAATAAGGTACTCGATCGTCCTCTGATAGTCGACCAGACCAGCCCCACAGACATATGAACACAGTGCGCCTGCTGCTATCCTAACCAGATTCTCTCAACTTTATTATCTCATGGCCTTTATGGCAAAGGAATCGACTTTGGTAGTTTAGTTGGATGGCTTGACATCGCATACAACCAATTGAATGTGAATCTAGTAATTGAGAAAGCAGAAGCCTTTCTAGTTAGTCGCATAAAACCAGATTAATTGCGAATTTCCGATGAATGTCTAGTTAGGTTTTGGTTTTGAAGAGAAAAAAATTTCGATCTCACTTTATTAGCAAGCCCTATAGTAACATAACGCCACCTTCGGCCCTGTTCACTTTCATTTTCGTTTCCTGTTTTTTGTTTTCATGTGATAAATTTGGCAACCGAAATGAGAAAACTTGTTTACTTTTCATTATGTTTTCTATTCGTTTCCAACTATGAAAACAGAAAGTGGCAACTTCCTGCTGTTTTCGGAAACGACAAAATGTTGTTTTCACCTGTTTTCAACATCTGTTTTCTCAAAAACAGGAAACAAAAATGAAAGTCGTTTTTAGCCGCTGAAAATGCTTATGAGGTTATGGTTTGCCAAGAAAAGGGCAAATGTTGCAGGACCGCTAAGCATTTTCAGCGGCAATCGAACAACAATTGGAGCGGAAAGAGCATTAGAGAAATTAAACAAAAAACAATTTGATCACTGAAGTGACGGGGAAGTTTTGTAGATCAAGGTTGTCAAACCGGTTTATACCGTTGTGCTGGTTTGGCAAGTGGAATGGTATGACCGGTGGTATAACCAATTTGTGCCGGTTCATGCCGGTTTAAAAAAATGTGAAAACAATTAATATCCAATGTATCTAATCATATATAAAACATTTTTGTGGACAATTTAGTTACAATCCAACAAATATCATCAACTATTAACTATTACATTCATAAAATGAATAATAAATTAATTTTTTTATTCATTAAATTCATTAAAATGATATCATTTTAAGTCGATCATACCGGTCATACCGGTGGTGTCATGCTGGTTTCATGACCAGCACAAATTGAACCAAGTTCAACCGGGTGGCATGCCACCGGCATTACAATCATGTTCTAGATGGTTTAGCGTTTTAGGGTTGCCCCCATACCATACGTTTTCCCACTGGACCGATTCTTTCTTGGGTTTTCATTGAAATGAATGGAGCAGTTGATTCACGTGTCCAGCTGCAAGCAAAATACAACAATAATGGCTATGAAAATTGACGGGGCGAAGGAGGCTCTTTGTTTATTGTTCTCTCTGCAAATTGTCTTCAGATCCGACAGAGGGGAATAAAGCGCGAAAATACAAACCAAATGCAAAGGGAAAAGTCGCTAGGCAGGCATGTCGGCGGGACTCAATCATGCATGCGCCTGGCAAGGAATAACGTAGCCGTAGGGATGGCATAAATATCTACCATCATAGATATCAATCCAAATTCCACCGGTAGGCCAAAACTATATATCGGTGAATTATATCACTTGATATGGGCAATTTCCGAGTAATTTGGTATCTAATCCGAACAGACGTCCGATCATGCACATTAGATCTGAGAAAATAGACCAGATTGTTAGAAAAATTGTGGTCAAAACTGGACCGTACAGTTTGGTCCGAACAGTAGGCCATTAAGTATGGTCTGATCTGGTCTGGTCCATGGTCTGTAATATTTGATGCTGTGAAATTAATGCTTTTACTTTGTCTCTTTATTATGTACTAAGATTTAGGGTGTCAAAATTATCCATGCATGTTAGAATTAATGTTTTAATACAAAAAAAAAAATATTTTTTTCCTTGGTTATTGGTTCAACTTTTTGTTTGGTTGACTAAACAAATTGTTCATTTTTCGTTGAGTGTGGTCTATATGGACCAGACCGTATCGGGCTAGACCGCACAAACGTGGTCTGGACCGGACCGTATAGTCTGTGGTCTATACTCCAGCCTCTCGGTCTGGACCATAGACCGTATATATGATCTTATCTGGACTAGATCATAGATGTATAATATTTTTTTCATGAAATTGTGTCATTTTTAATTAATATTCTTCATGATAGTGATTTATGTTCGTAACTTTCCACTTATATAATGTCATTATACGTGTGAGTGTTAACTTGTTTAGTTCGAATTATAAAGAGAAATTATTACTTATAAATAATCGTGGGTACCCAAAACTCGATTGAATATGGACGTAATGTTCATTTTCTACTCGATTCTTGTATGAGTATGAGTAAAGAATATGGGCCTCTAGAGGGTCCCATTCATTAACCCTAACCCTAGAGTAAAACAAGTTCTGTCAACAGATAATAGAAATACCAAATAACAAAACCATCAACAAACCCACTGAGATACAATGATAAATAACCATATTAGTTCAGTGGCTGATAAACAATAGCTCTCTCAGATCAGACGAGCCCACCACAGAAAACAAAGAAAGATTCTAAAAATCCAGCATAGACAAACCCTCTCAAAAGAAGAAGGCAGGGGAATACTACACTACTTACTGCTACTGGGGACACTTGGCCACTAAAAAGCGAATCATTTCAATTATCTGCCTGTCCTGCCTTTGAGATTCTGCTTTTTTTTTTCCAGACCATCTCCTGTCTTCATCATCGCCTTTTGACTATTCCCCGCTGCAAAAAATGCATCATAGTGAGAAAGCAAGCAATCATGGAGAGGAAGGAACCGAAAGTCCCTGCCACAGTTGGCCAATGATCTCACTCATGAAGCAAACCCATATGCATCATTCATGTCTGCCGTTTAAAGTTTTCCTTTCCGAGTCACATTTACAATGGTTCTACATTGGACTACCACGAAAAAAGTAATGCCTAGCCTCTGATTGCTTTACCAATCTCGAGGGCAATGGATGATGAATGAGCAGCGAGCAAGGAACTAGAATCAGTGTCGAATTCCCTGCATTGCAAGTTTAAGTTCCTTTCCCTGCGTCAACTTTATTTAAGGCGGGGACCAGATGAGCATAATCATGGGGAAAGCAGAATAAGAATAATAGTGGTGGAAGATAATTTGACAATTGGGAGCTCCTAAAAAGAGATGCTATAAAAGCAGAGGACAAAAGGGAAATGAAAAAAAGATGCTTGACAATTTGGGCAAAAGACAATGGAAAGGGGGGGGCAACTCTTGAAAACCATGCCCTGACTGTGACTTTTCATCTCTATGTGGGATTTTGATGCTCATATTCAACAAAAAGATGCCATCCCATCCAGATGAGGGAAGTAAGTAGAGATGAGGATAATCATGGGGAATGGAATTAGAGCATGAAATCTGGAGCAAAATTAGCACATCTGCTGTCAGAAACAAAATCATAGCCCGTTTGGGTAAAAAGAAACCAAATTGGGGAGGATGGAAATAGGAAGTAGCATACAAATAACTAATGAATACATTCCAAAACATCATATCCCAAAAGTAATTAGAGCAGGGCACCCTACATAAGCATTTCTGGAACAGATCCATATAATACAACACATTGTTAGCAATCATAACTGATACATAAACCATTACAGAAACATCCCATCAGAACTCAGGGTGTCTCTGCAGCATACTTAGGGGCAGTAGATGATAAATTAGAAATCTTTTAACAAAAAAAGATGAAGTAGAACGAAGCTAAAACTGTAAGACAACATTGACTAGGCAATACAAGACTCAGTCGTCTGACAACAGTTTGCCACATTCTGTAAACTCCGTGCATTCAAGAGTTGGTACACTCATGCTCCTCTTACTTACAGATCTACATTAGACACACGACACACAAAGCGTTTTTTGACCAATACCATTGCATTAAAAGCTTAACACCAAATGTCTAATTCAGCTAGAGAAATCCCTATTTAGCTGGATTGAACCCAAGCTGCAAAATAAATGGTGTAAATTGGACAGAACAAATGGCAGATATGAGGTGACATTTCTGTGCAGAGTTCAACAACTACCATAAAGGCTAAAGCATCCATGTCAAACCAGGACTTTCAACAAATGAATGTTCTTAACATAGCAAAAAAAATGAATGCTCTTTCTTAAAGCGCCTCTAAAGTCCAAAATCTATTCTCAGAAAACAAATGAATCTTCTTACAATGAAAGTGAGGTAAAAAAAGAAATGTTATTGAGCTGTTTTATCAAGGAAAGGAAATTAAAAGTTCGACTCGAATCGCGATACGATAGCAATTAATCATCGACGCGGAGCAATTAAACACATTCCAAGCAGAGCCAGATCAAATCAAACCTTGCGCCCCCGGCAGGCAGCTACAATCTCAGAAAACTTTAAAGACAAGTCATCAAACCATCATCAGAAACCAATTGATTTCTCAATCAATAGACACGCCATCGACAAAGCCACCTGCAAGCTAAAAGTTAACACAGCACAAATTAGGGGGGAGAAATCAATGGAACTGGCTCAGCTATTCATACAGCTCATTGATCCAATACTCCAGATCAATCGCCGGACAAAAATCTAGACCACAAATGAATCGAATCGAACACACAGAACCGAAAGATCTATCAGAAGAATCAACAAATTAATTCTCCAATCAAACTGAAAACCAGAAGATCTAACAACATCGCAGGATTACATTTCCTCCTTACCGCACACACCGAAACCGAATCTGACACAAGAGCAGATGACATCAGATGAAAACTAAACCAGAAACGCCTGAAACAGATCTGCAGTTAAGAAGAATTAACGGAGATGCAATCCAATCCAATCCCCAAACCTTACCGCCATGCAAGTTCAACCTCTCTTCCGGCCGACATCGCCCAAAAAAAAGAAAAAATTCACTGCGGCCTCCGATTCAGTTGATGCAAGGCGGGATCTAATCGTCCCCTTCCGCCGCCGCAGCGGAAATTGCCGCACCTAAGTCAGATGTCGTCGGCAATCAGGGACAGGGGAGGTGACAGAAGCAATCAGTTCCCGACCTGCACCAAGCGAATTCGAGACCGCAAAGTGAATCACTCCGCCATCTCTCTCTCTCTCTCTCTCTCTCGCTTTCCTTTTGCTTTCTCCACTGCGCCCACGCAGCAGCCACTGACAAACCCACGCTGCTGCTGCTGCTGCTGCTGCGGCGGGTGGGCGCCTTTTAACGGAAAAAATGTAAAGCCTTCTTCTCTCGTTGGATGGAAGTTTGTGGAGGGGACGAGGGTGATTTATAATCGGGATAGGCCAACGCGATCTTGACACGTGGAAGCTCGCTGTATCTGCCGTCTGATCGAGGATTGTTGTTTGGTTTTCCTTTTTTTCTTATTTTCCCGCTGGGCGAGTTCAGACTGAGCTGAGCTGGCGTGGAAGAAAGCAAAAACAAAGCAGAACAGCTAACGGCAGCAAGCTGCTTCTCTTTTTCTTTTCTTTTTTTCCTTCTTATTTTGACATTTTTATTTTCCTTTTTGGGTTTATTAATTATCACATTGTAAGGAGCCCGGTGTATGGCAAACAAATTAGTAGGGGTGAACAAACACACCCGCAAAACGACCCATTCGTCCAACTCGATCCAACTCACTTGTATTTATCGCTAAATCGAAGATTTTGGGTTGGGTGAGGGTTTTCTTTTGTACAACCCGCCTCTTTTGGGTTGGGTTTGGATTTTGGATTACACAACCCATAGAACTCGACCCAAACCGTGTTCCAACTATTAGTATGAGTTCGTATCTAAAAATATTTATGTCGTATATAGCCATACTTATGAGAAAATTAAGATATTTCGTCATGTTTTCCTATCATGGTCTCCCTAATCTAATGCATTCTTTGACTAAAAGTTTAGACATAAATTGAATATAGTTATGATTCACATAATCATTTTTCTTGTGTACAATTTCAATAGAATATATATTATGGATGCGTTTGTTTATAACCTTTTTAGCCTATTTCAACAAATATCGTGAAAAAAACTAGACATATTTGAAGTAAATCACATTTTATTAAAATTCAAATAACATTTGTGAATTTTGATACCTTTCACCTCAATTTATTCGTTTGAAATTTTAGTTAGTTATAAATTATTTTTATGATGTATAATAATTATATATTTTATGTTGGGTTGGGTTTTTACTTAAAAATATCGCCAACCCGACCCAACCCAATTAGAAACAAACCGTAGGATTTGAATATTTTTTGGAGGGTTTGGGTTTGATAATTTCCAAACCGTAGTGTATGGGTCGGGTGATTAAAATGGTTAAACCCGAACCAATCGACCCATCTACACCCCTACTAATTACGGTGCGCCACTCTGGGGATAGTGTAACGGTGGGAAAGCGCTGCAAGTTAAGTTATATGGTGACGGGTAAAATATATCGGATATCAGTTATACTATTTAAATAAGAACTAATTTTTTCCCGATTTGTTGGTCGGATGAATTCTTTTATTTGTCACTATTTTATGATAATCACCTTGTTAGAGTTTTGATCCTAGAACTTTATGTTGTTTCCTTGTTTCACCTACACATGCGCACACACGGACCTTTCTAGGTTTGTTAGTCCTTTTGAGGTCAAGTTAAGATATGTTCTAGAGAGATAAGTAGTATTCCAAGTTTTAGAGAGAGAATCCAACTTGCTTAAATGCTCTTACATGCCCCCTATTTTATACCCGATGTGGATCCGACAACCTTATCTACGCATTAAAAGTCTTATTTCCCAAACGGGCATGCGCCCCGACCAACGCTCTTGATCACACACACCGCCACGCAGGGGCGTAGTCAGGATTTTATCAAAGGTGGATCCATTTAGGGGGGAAAATTCACACGATAGAATAGTTTTATTAGCTTTTTTAAATCATTCATGATATCATTTTATATTTAAAAAATCTGGTAAATTAATTATATTTCGAAACTATCAAGAATATCATTCTATATGTATCAAACAATTATTCATTGTTTAGTTACACATTTGCTTTTGAACGGTGGTCTTTGTTAGGACCGTATAGTATCAATAATTCGAGTTATTGGAGAACATTTAATAATGTATCTTACACTATTTAGTATTTACTAACACTTCCTGCTAATGAAAATCAACTTATACTTGCCTAAAGTGTTCACAAATCTCAAATATCATGTGCTTAACAAATGAGATCACCAATATTCGAACATATGATCTCTCGATCAATCATTCTCAATTAGAAGTGCCCTAAATTTCATTCTCAATTCACTATATATTATACTAATTTAATCAATATCTTCATTAGGAGTCACCAGTTACACTCTCCCTACCCCTTATTGGAATAAGATTATTTTTTAAAAATGGCTATAATAGGTGAAAATTTGTTGTTGATATTGAATAAGTACATCTTTAATTTTATGCGTATCACAATTTATAAATTGTTATAAAAATATTGATATGTCAATACACAACTTATAAATCATATATAAAATATTTTTAAAAAACAACCATTTTTATTTAAATACGTTTTATTTTTCATACACAATTAACTAATATATCTAATTTATCATTTTTCCTCCCGAGCTAGGAGGGTCCCGGGATCCACCCTCTAACCCTCTCCCTTCTCCCCTGCCGCCACAAAGGAACATACGCCAGACTGTCAGTATCAATACTGATTTTGAGAGACACTTACTTTGTCGTCATGCGCCTCTGAGTAGGATTTTTCTTCTTGCCCAACCCAAAATAAGCATGGTGAGTTTTATTCTTCCTGGACGGACTCTTTCATTGATGCTATGTTAAGTGTGCCTAGCATCATGTATTAATCTCCCCTAACACAATTCATTCATATTTTCAAATGATTTTGTGTACGCTCAATTGTTTACTAAAGAGTCGAAAATATGTTTGTACTACTTGATAATTTTTACATTGATAATAACTAGTTCATATGTAACTTTCTTGATCGGTTATCTTAAGGTACTAATTTCTATATATTCGACACTAAAGAATTTTGCACTATTTACTGATTCATATATATATAATTATTATTGAGATATTTTTTTTGGATAATGTATATATATTATTATTGAGATGTTAATGTGTATTGACAGGAGTTTGTACAACTTGCTTCATGTTTTCAGTTTAGTTACTGTCGATTTCGTCGTATGTTGAAGCAAATTGTTATGCATTGTCGTTACCCAATTGAAAGTACTTTGTCATATGTTCTATTGAACTCAAATATGCTAGCTAGATGGGAGCCAACATTGGTTTGAATTTTATTGATGGTGAGAGATGGAGAAGAAGTGGAAAAGGAAGATTGAAAATGGGTTGGAATGAGAGGTTATGTGACTATTCATTTGTCCCTCTTCAGTTTCCTTTTTTGTTAGTGAATATCTCCCTTCTTTTTGTTGCTTTCTTTTTTTATTTATGTTAATTAGCACAAAACGCAAAAAAAATTCCAAGTTGTCAAGTTAACACAAAAAATATCACGTTAGTGTATCCAGTTTATATAGTCAACATAGGTACGATGGTGGTATTAAGTTTAACATATTTCATATATGATATGACTTTATTTGTAATATAAAAACTTAAAGTCGACGTTTTGGTTATGCATATGTATTTTTTAAGTATTGAAAACCATACCGTACCGGCGGTTCAACCAGAAAAATCTCATACCGAAAGCCAAACTAGTAGGCGATATTTAGAGGTATGAAACGGTTGAACCACGATTAAACTATGATTTCATCATAAGATACTTTACCGCTGACTTTCCCGATACACCTTTTCAATCCTTGGTACAAATAAATATTTAATAATCAAATGAGTGTTACTTGAGTTTTGATTTCAGAATTAATTTCATTATATAAGATATCACTAACTTCAAATAAAATATAAAACATCATATACCGAATATGTCTTTAGGGTTTAATTAAAGAAATTGCTGCAAATACAATGTAGTGTAGTTGTTTTTACTTTTACTTTTATATTTTTATATGGGTAATATAGATTTATCATTTGTAGCGTAGTTGTTTATAAACTTATAATACTTTTTCTTCATTTGAGTAATATGATTTCAAATCTCAATAATCAACTTTTTAATGTATAAACAAATGATGTACAATTACTAAATGGAGATTATTGGAATCGCTCCCCGTCCACTGAATTCGAAATAGGGATTGTAGTTTTTTCATTCGACTTTAAAGCAATGGGTTTTGTTTGATTAAAAGCATGATATCAAATATGATCTAGTCTAATTGGTAAAGTGCTCCTTCTTTATTTGAGTGAACAAGGTTCGAATCCTACTAATGCACTTTTTAAATATGTAAACAAATGAGGTGCAATTACTAAATAGACCTTCCTAGAACCGCTAGAACCGCTCTTAGGCCACGAAATTTGAAATGGAAATGATGGTTTTACTTTTCAGCTATTATAAATAGTGTAGATAGATGTAGAATCCTACTAATGCACTTTTTAAATATGTAAACAAATGAGGTGCAATTACTAAATAGACCTTCCTAGAACCGCTAGAACCGCTCTTAGGCCACGAAATTTGAAATGGAAATGATGGTTTTACTTTTCAGCTATTATAAATAGTGTAGATAGATGTAGATGTAGATGTAGATTGTAGATATAACATTGCATTGTGGAACATTGTAAAACATTAATATAAGTAAAATCACTTTTTTTCTCATTGGACCAGCCTAAAACTAATTTCCGACTACACCACTCATCACTGCCCAACGCCCCGACCCACTTGATACTCATCCCTGCCCTTGCTCTTATTATTCCAATCCTCCTTGTAGCTCTATGGATTGACGTTTCTTTTATTCCTCGTCTACGTAATGCTCTGGCTGATTGGATTACTAGCCATGCTCGTTTTCAGTTTGTTACTAATGGATCTGGCTGATCTCCCTCCACGGGTTCCATGTAGCCTTTTACATCTTTCCCTCCACAGAAAACTAATGGGGTGTTTGGATAGAATGATTTGGATTTGGTATTTGTGATTTCTAAATGTCAAATCATGTGTTTTGGATTTTAATTACATTTAGTATTTGGATTTGTGCAATATTTGATGGGGTGATTTTCAAATACATGTCTAGTATTACTTGTTAACTTCAAATACATTTCAACAAGTGATTTGAAATACCTCCTAACAAAACATTGGACCTACATGTAAAATATTAAAATTTTGGGCACCATAGTGTGAGGCAAAACATATAAAGGTACCAAAATGTAATTTTACCATCAAAATTT